GACGTTGTGTAGTGTTCTATAATTTGTATTTAGATCTGTAATAGAAGAGAATTTGATCAAAATTGCTTGTGCATACGCATACGCACGGCTCTATCAGCTTAGCGTGTTCCGTCACAAACAAGCATTAATGGATTGCTTTTAATTCTCTATTGTAGTTGTGCTAACATTTTCCAAATATGATTAAGGCGTGTGTACTTTTAATACACCCGCATAAAAAAAAACAAAAAGGTTCCTTTGTGACACCACGTACAGTTAAACACATATTTTCTACATCTTTCATACTTTCCGATAAACACTAAGGAAAGAAAGGAGAAAAAAAAAAGAATTAATGCGACAGATGCAAGAAATGATACTGTAGATTAATGAATTTTTGTAGTTTTCTCTTTAGTCTATGACAATTAGGTTTTCATTGTAGTAGTGAACTTTGTATGAGTAGTATACATCATTTGTTTTTAACATTTAGTCGTATATATCATAACTATTATATTTCTATGATTGAGAAAAAATAAGATGTGTTCCAATATTTAATCGTTTATGATTGCTAATCGATCACAATGACATTCTACTATTCACTAAATCATGATAATTACTGATATGAAATTAGATAAAAGCCAAGATTTTATCGTACAAATTAATAAATTTGTAGTATTGTCTTGATTAGGATTAGTGATAAAGTACATCGAACAAGATGGTCGTATAGAAATGTTAATCGATCACGTAAAAACTATATTCTGATTATTCAAAATTAACCTTGTCCTTAAGTATGACAAAAAACATGCCTCTGAAAACTATAATTCTGTTTTTAAGTAGTATTATTTCAGACTAGAAGGCATGAATAAACACACACGTGCGATAAACACAAGGGATGTCTTATCATGCAGGTATAGCACTTTTCTAATGTCTGAACATGCTGTGTTGTTGTTTTTTTTTTTTGACATTCATGCAATCACATTCATCTAATCTTTGAATAAAACTTACCGATTATCGACCATAGCCAGAAAAATTAAATAACATAAACAGAAACAATTCATCGATTGGATTCAGTCTTGTAAAAGAAAAAAGAAAGAAAAAACGATGACTAACATCATGTTGACACCATTTAAATCTAACAGAAATCATTCTTCGTCATAGCAGCTAGATATATCTTCATCGTTATTTCCAAGAATACATAATCGACATTTGTCAAATATTGACAAGCAAATTTTTTTTGACAGAATAAAGTATTTGTTTATTACACTCGATCTCTATCGTTCTTTCTTATTTGTACGCTCCAAATTTTTTCGGATAGTATATAGAGATAAAATCTCCATCTTACCGTAATCAATTGTTGCCTGTTATGAAAGCAAAGCAATGAAGTCTAAAGTAAATATATAGAAGAAAAGAACAGAGACTGACTATAACAATAAATGCAAAAAAAAATCAAGAAAACAAATGCACCCGCATAGTAGAGTAGTCATTGCAAGAATAATTAGTAGATCGATCGAATATATGGGTATTTCTATTGATTGTCGTTTAATTCTTGTTCTTTCCTTTTTTTTTCTCTCCTCATGTCTCTGTGTCTCTGATTTTTCCATCTTGTATTACTCTCATGCTCTAGAGAATGAATCCAAAAAAAGTGTTGATATTTCTTGTATGACATGCAAAATGAAAAAAAAAACTAAAACCATATCAATATTGCTTGAGTTCATGATTATGTGCTAATATTCCTTCGAGATTATACAGAAAAAAAAAATTAATTAATTTTTCTAATGAATCATATTTTGCATTTTTACGTTTTAGAAAAATATATTTGAGTAATGTGAAAAAAAAAACATTTCTTAAGGATTTTCTGTTTTTTTTTTTATAAATATATTGCTTGAGAGAATAATGCATTTATAAAAATAAAAATAAAAAAAGACAAAGTAACTTTTTATCTTCAAGCAAACATAAATTTCTATTGTACAATATATTTCATTTTAATTGATTTCTTTTTATATATGAACTTTGTATTACGTTTGCTTTTGGTAAAAATAATTATTTTTGCATTCTGTTGTTTTGTTTTATTGCTTTTCAAGAAAACTTCTATAAGAAAGATATGAGTTAACTAAACAATCGGTCAAATTTGTTTTTTTCGCATATATATGTTATTGTTCGTCATATGGAATATGTCGAATATTCAGTCATCTGTATTTCTGTAAACAACAAAAACAGACAAGAAATAAAAGAACTATTACAATATATAATTCACATGATCTTAATTCAAACGATAACTTTTTTTTTATTTAAATTTTTTCATGTTTCATAAAAAAAAAATACTTGTTCAGTTATATAAGCAAAATATTACAATAAATATTAGAAAATATTTATAACATGTTGCTATATTTTTCTGTTATTCATAAAAATGTTTTATTATAAACCAGGTGTTATAAATAATCCAGTGATCCGTTATAATAAGAAATCTTATATTGTATAAATAATTACATGAAACATATTTTTGAATATTCAGCAAAAAAATATTATATATTTAGTTTCTATGTAATCACAGTTATAAAAATCTAATATATTTACAAAATAAAATGAATGAGTCAAATATTAATATGATGATCAACATATTTGGTTAACTACTTTGTCAATGTGCGCCCTTGATAATAATATAGAAAAACAGCTGGCTTCAATTATCAAAGAAAATTTATTTGATGATATTATAATGTTATCTTCATGAGGAGAAAATTTCCATTCTATGAACGAACAAAAAAAAAGAAATGATTTATTGAAAAATTCATTTATTTCTATATGATTTGTTTATATTTAAAATTCGAAGGAAAAAAAACTCTATTAGTTTATCTATTCATCCATAATGATTTATTATTGTGTCATACTGTCATATACAAAACGTCTATCAATACATTTAATGTTAATATTCCAGATTTTTCTATCGCAACTGTCTATTAATATATATTCTAGAATGACATCTCATGCGAAAGAATGACCTCAAACTTAATAGATTTTAAAGCATGTTATATACAGAAAGGTTAGTTATAATGATGTTTGTTCATTCTATGCTAAGGATAACCTTTCAATTATGAATAAATTTATCATCAATAATTATTCGTTATTCATGAGTAGATATCAACAAAAAAACATGCATAGATATGAGAATAAAAAAAAACAATGAGTTTTGACTAATTGCATGGCATATAACTTTTCATAAAAATAGTAATGATAACAAAGTTGATGATTGTGTCACTTTAATAGATTAAAATACTGATATCAATTATGTTGACGAGAATAAAGAGAAACATTCGCATAAAAAATTAATTAATAGGTTATGTAAACTGATACTATCCTTTTCCCATTATCATAGAAGATCTTTGATCAGTGATTTGATTCATTTTGAAATTGGAATATGAATTGTTATATTTAATAAGAAATATGTCTAATTTTCAGCCTTGCCAAATGAATATCATTAAGGAGTGAAGCTAAAATGATTCTTTTACCTTTTTACTCTTGAAAGATATATTCCGATCCTTCAAACGGTCGTAATTCTCTCAAATACCTTTTTAATTATTAATAAGAATAAAAAGAAAAACGAGAAATCTAATTGAATACTTCCCTGAAACATTTGTCCACTTAGGCATAATAGAACACTCAAGGTTTTCTATTGTACGGAAGCAATACCATAATCATTCAGATTTTCTATAAGAAATTCTAGTAGATATTAAAATGAATATCAAAATTCATAAGAAAAGTCTCGACAATAAATTCTGATAGATGATCATGAAATTAATATTATGATTATCATTTCTACTTTATTAATGAGATCTATCGATTGATTGTAATGAAAAATATTATTTCTATTTTTCTTTGTTGTCAAATTTAGTCTAATGCTAAAATTCAATAGAAGTTATTTTAAACAATCATAGCTAAAATTAATGGTACGCTAGATTAACAATCAATTGCACTAACTACATAGACTATACCATATAATGTGTTCTATTGTTTTTTTGAATAACTTTTGATAGGAATATCATACAGATCTGTGGTTTTCGCTATTCAAGATAGAAGATCTAAAGCCATCGAAGTTTGATTGATCAATAATTGATCAATCAGATGAGTTCTTGGTGGAGATTTTCGAGAACGATATTCCGAAGCTATTCCTCTTTAGATTTAAACTTTTAATAGGATTAATCGATAGAGAAAATTCTTCTCTTTCGAGTAACGCAACTCTAGTATGCTTGGTTTGTTCCATTCGCAAGTTATAAAACTTTTCCTGAGACCCTCGATTTCAGTCAATTGATATATGATCACCCGGAAAAGCAGGTAGGTAGGAGTAATCACTGTGCTGAGTCAAATGATGGTATTTATTTTGAGGTTCGAAATGGTCTGATTCTATTATTTCAATATTTCTGAAATTCTACAATCAGCTTCCATGTAACGAAGCAATCGACATTACAGACATATGAAAAAAAAATAGCTTCACAATATGATTTTCGAATATTTCCACCAAGAACTCATCTGATTGGTCAATTGCTGACCAAACATATTTCGATAGCCCTGGATCTTCACTCTTGAACGGTGGAAACCACTGGTCTCTATGATGTTCTTATCAACAGTTATTCAAAAAACAGTGAAGCACATTTTATTTTGAAATGCGTACTGTAGATTAGACCACAAACAGATTTTATTTTTTTGTATGATGTTGATACTATTCAGTAATAATCGTTTTTTATCTGTTTTAAGTAACGACTTGATCAGCTGTTTAGAACAATTATATTGAATATTCTACATTGGATTGTATGTGAAATGATTGTTTTTGATAAATAACATGTTGACTTTTCAATGAATAACTTTTATTTCAATATGTATAAATATGTTTTCCAGTATTACTGCTACCATGAAAACAAATGATGAATAACACAATCACAAATACAACTGAGACAAAAAAGAACGAAAAAAAAAAATAATTTTAATATATCTGATTAACATCAAAAAAACAAAATAGAAAAGTTTTTTTTTTCTTTTCATTCATCGTCATCATCACCATCGGGTACAGCAGGTGGTGATAAAGATGTTGATGTTCGTGTAATACTTGTAGGACGAGAAGAAGATTGTGGAATTGAATCATTTGTATATAAAAGTCGAAGCTTTTCAGTATATTCAGCTTCATATTGAGCTGTTTTAGCTTTTTCTTCAAGAAGAATTTGTTCATAATATGATGTTATTTCAAAATTTTCTAATTCAGCCGTTATATATTGTTCATTTAGTACTTCATTTTCATGTTTAAGTGATTCATATTCAACTAATAATTTAGCATATTCTAAAAGACAATAAAATAAAGATTGATAAATAATATACAAAACAAAATAATAATAATTATTTGCCAAAAACAAAGATACTATTACATATCCAAGAAATATAAAGAATATATCAAAATATGAGAGAATATTAAGGATAAACATCGAGTGTAAGAATAATGACCTCATTTCTTGAAAAGATATCAGATCTTTAAGATTATCCCTTAATGATAAACTTCTGCATCTTTAATATCTTGAATTTGTGTCCGTAGTAATTCAAAATGTTTTATACATTTGAAAGTTACATTTCAATATAGAAGGCAAATTCTTTTAGATTTTTCTTACGAGGAAAGTCCTCCAATTGATAAATCGCTTTTAAGTTGAGACTATGTGCATTATGTAGACTCAAATGAGCTATGAATACTCTGAAAAGAGTTCATGTTCTTAGCTTATTGCTCTGGAGATGATTTCTCATACATATTTAAATATACTTATCATTTCACAATGTCGAGTTCTCAATTACAATACAGTCAATTGATCTATAACGTTTTGTAATTGAGAACTGTCATCTACTTTATTTTTCAGAATTCAATAGAATATATATTTCGACAATAGGGTTTTTTTAATTTCTGGAACATGAGAACCAGCTGTGGCTCCAGGAAGAGCTCAGCTCCTTTTCCTAAACTTTCCAAAAAAGTGTAGAGAAACTTTTTCAAGTTTTTTGACTTTTCAAGAGTCCTACGTATTCTATATTGAACAAAGCATTCGTACTTTTGTGTTGAGAACTTGGCTACTTTGATTTAGAGAATCGAAAAATACACTGTACAAAATATTCTGACCACGATCTGCCTTAACACTAGCTCGAATAGAAATAAGTTACTGATTTTGGTTGAACAGCAGAATCCTAATATGATATAATAATGAAATTCGATTATGAGATGACGATGAATTAATAACGTTCGATTTTTTCATCTAGCGTGTTTTTTTATTATATGAAAAAGAGAAAAACACTCTATAGTCCTACGTTCACCAAACTGCATTTCTAAACCCTGTATTCTTTTTTAACTAGTTAGACACGGCTGTCGGAATTGAGAGCTAGCTATAATTGTCAGAAATGAGAGTCATTTTCGAAAAGAAAACTCTGTAGTTTAGGAAATTGTATATTGCGATATCACTCCTATGAACGATTATCAGTTCTTTCCAACAACTTTAACAAGATTTCGGGGACATTCAGTCTCTCTCCACCGTCCCTCTGGAGTCGCCATTAATAAATTTTTTTGAAGAATGTTGTTATTTTGAAAGTATTGATTCATACAAGCAGGGGATTGATATGAGGGATTGTTAATAAGCAGGATGCATTCGACCGCATGTGTATCTCATGATTATGATATTAGAGCGTAGATGTATGGTTGTAAGCTCTAGAGACTGAAAACGAACTGAACTAATTTTCAAAAAGATAGTCCAATGTAGTCAAAGTTTAAATAAAAAATAATTCGTTGAACTATAATCGATTTTATGAAAATGTAATGAAACCACTGAGGATAAAATGGTTTTTGATTGATTGTTTGACATTCTTAATTTACTTTTCATACACAACAGCCTTTTTTTCTCTTTATAAGAGTCACACTACTTGTGTTTATGACGATAGATCACTTTTATGCGGCGTAATTCTTTTATTTTTCTTTCTCGATTGCGATGAATAACTGTCTGTAACCATGTGAAATTATGTATTAACACGAAAAGGAATTGGCAATACTTACACATCATTATTAAAAACTTGATTTTAATTCGGGAGTGTATTCAGCAGTATTAATTTATATTAATATCAACTCTAATCCTCTCTAATTAACGGCAAATTAAATAGAACAGTCAGAAAAACTCAGATGTATACGCTATAAGAATCGTTTGTTTTCTTTTTGTCAGTGAAAGAAAAAGAAACATTGAAAATTTTTTATTTCTTATATTTAATATGATTTTATTAGTTCGTGCATTCAAAACTTCTTATGTCAACTGTAATAAATATTTACCTTGTTCAAGATCTTGTTGTAATTGATGAGTTTTATCAGCATTTTCATTAAGTTTTCTTAATTGTTCACAACAATCATCTTCAAGTTGTTTTCGTTTAATATTAAAATCTTCAATAATTTGTTTTAAATGATTTTGAAGTTGATAAGCTTCATTTTCAAGATCATGTTCATTTATTAAATCATTCTTTTTTAAATTTAATTCAAATTTTAAAAATTTATATTCATCATCAATATCAATTGAATTTTGTTTTATTGATGAATTTTCTTTTGTAGAATATTTTAAACTCATTAAAATTTTATTTGCTGCAATATATTTCATTATATTTAATTCATGTTTATTAAAATAATGTGGTTTATCAAGAATAATTCGATCAACTTGATCTATGATATATATATATATATATATTTTAATATATTAACTATTTTTTTTAATTATTCTTACCATAATCAGCAAATTCAACAAGAATATAATCAAAATTTGCTTCATGACAATATTTACAAGCATATAAAGTACCATATGAAGAAAAATATTCACGTAAATCTTTTAAAGAAAGTTCATCAACATTTATAGAATCAATAACAATCATTATATCACGTGATGAATCTATATGTTCACGTGGATATTCAGCATTATATGGTATAGCACGTTTAACATATCTAAATTAATTAAGAAGAAAAAAGAAAAACAATTAAATTAAGAAATCTATACATATGAAAATATTTACAAATGTTGACCATCAAGTCGATGTGGTCGACTAGTCATACACCGATCAACACTTTTAGGATTAGTATAAGTAATAAAAACAATACCACCACCATTTGGTGAAGTAAAACTATAATGATCTATAGTACCAAATTGTTCAAAATAAGTTCTAGAAAATATTCAATAATACTTTTATTGAATATGAAAATAATTATTCTTACAATAAAGTATGAGGTTCAGTTTGATAACCAACACCACCAATACAAATCTCTAAATAATGTGAAGAAATATTACGATGATAAGATGACATGATTATCTAAAACACTAGACGATTTACTATTGAATGGGAAATCTGAACTGAAAAAAAAAGTATATCAATGATAAATATAGATTTAAGAATGGCCGTATTGACTGACTAATCGGACATTAGTAGAGGCACCACATGTATATATTTCATCATGAGGAGATTGTTTTAATGATTGTATTATCTAACAGGAAAAGCAAAACTTAATATTCAATCAATGATAAAGAAAAATCCACAAAGATAGAAATAAATAAATCTATGAGCTGTTCAGTTATATTATGACCAAAGGCTGTACAACGTCAAAAAACCGAGTATATAACTATATAATCATTGATATCGGATTATATTACAAGTGTAAATCGAGATTATAACCGTCGTTAGAAAATTAATGAAATATATGCACTATTTCAGGAGAAATGAAACATACTCATCTTTCATTTGACTTTGATTTTTTACAAGAGTTACTTTTTTGAATAAGTTTTTTTTTAGCATAGACATATGTAAAACATGTTGGCTCTTTCAATTGACTATTAATTAAAAGGTAATTAGCGAATATCTTTCCTAACTATACGAGAAAAAGATCTGAAAACTTCAAGATAGACTGTATGATAGAAACTGCATCTATGGTGAAGTTTTGAGCAAGATCTGACTCCAAAAAATGTTCTCTGTAAAACCAGTTTTTTAGAGATCCTATCAAGTTTTGGAACAAAAATTTTTGTCTTACTATTATCTAGAGATTCTGAAGAAGGATGTGTACATTTTGGAATTGATTTTGAACTATTCATAAGTCGATATTTTTAGAAAAATCTAGGCATGCTCAGAAAACAGTTTGGATAGAGATTTTGTAAGTTCAGAAGTTGTCTATAAAATGTGCTATTTAGTTTTTCAATGATACTACCTCAATTCTAATTTTTTTAAAAACTAAAATGCATGAAATGAAAGTCGATGTCCTTTTTGTCTCACGTCGCTAACACTAGTTTTTTAATGACAACTTCTCTGAATAAAGGTCTCTGGCGTTTATTTTTCAGGATATCTAGAGTAATTTAATATATATGTAATATATGAATATTAACGCTAGGAAAATTTATTATCCTTTGGTACGTGTTTTTTTTTAATTTTGCAAAGTCACGTTACTAACAAATGATTTTGTCCGTCAACGGATAGAAATGGCACTCTACTAACAAGGAAAGTTCCACTTTTGTGTCGAGACTATGTACATCATGTAGATCCTAATGAGTTATGAATACTCTAAAAACGGTTCATTCGTTTAGCTTATTACTGTGAAGATACTACATTTTTACGGTATTTTTTTGGTCAATGCCATGGTAACGTGAGTTTTACAGAGTATTCATAGTTTATTAGAATCTATATGATGCACATACTCTCATCTCGAAAGCGATTCATCAGTTAGGGAACTTTTCTTCAAAGCTTCAAATTTCATGCACTTAAATATGATATAGATCGAAATATTTAATTTCTCATATACATTCAGAATTGATTTGTAGCTTTCAGAAAAGTGACTATATAGATATAGAGTTTTTCCACAATTGATTAAAAGCTAAAAACTCTTATGTCTATCTTTGATGTGTCATTAACATTAATTTTGACCTTGAGCATTTACACAACAACAAAGATATTGATACAGAAACTAGCGATGATTATTTTGTATCTTCTAATATTGAAGAAAAAGATTTCATTTTCAGGAAAATGACTAAATCGACAGAATGAATATCGCGCTAAGTTTTATATACATCGTATCGTATATTTCATGTTTTACTAAATTTGAAATATTAGTAATTAGTCAGTTTGAATAAGTTGACTAATTTCAATATTGTTGAAGAATTGATTCAGTCATAAGAAGTATTTGACGATTGATATTGATAATTTCTAGTAAAACAACGAAATTTTACAGTATAAAATCTTTTATTACTTAATATGCCATTGAGATAATATGATAAGTGATTCTATTCATTAAGTTTTCAATATTATTTACTAGAATGAGTCAGATAGTAACAGTAATTATTCTGTAAACTTTATATATCTATTATTGAAACCAAAATTTATTGCTGTGTACCAGAAAGAAAGCCGAATCTTGTCTGACATAACCAGCTGAGGAATATAAATCAAACTTGTTCGCTCTACAATTCAACATAGAGTGTTTCATAATATACTGTTAGTTTTATAAATAAATCATTTTATTGAATTACGAACGAGATTATCTCTACATGTTGTAAGATTCATAAGGTATTCACATGTTTGGATTGCTCAAAATCTCATCCCCTTATCTTGCATTTTACGTGAGTTATTCAAAAAACATTCAGATACCTTGAATTCAGGCGTCGATAATAGTTTCTTGTCGTCTATATTGTGAGAAGTAATCTATTTCAGATATTGGCGGACCGACACACTATACCTGCACTCACCTTCAGAATTGATATAGTGCTGAATATCAAGCCCAATTGTAGAGATGTGCCAAAGTAAAACATGCATTCGTCATTTAGCTGCTCTATTTAGATGAGATTACGAATCTTAATTCGCGCATAGGTAATTGCAAGTGTTGCCAAGAACCAAACTGTTATTAATGTTAAAGCTTCATATGTAGGATCAACTTGCAGGAAGGTGAACTTCGCCAAGCAATGATTGCGATGAAACTCAGAAGCATAGAGTCAAATAATGTACCTATTATATTCATAGATGTTGATACAGTTGTCCAACGAGCACCCAACTATCAAGCGAGCGAATAGGTTCCTGTATCGACAATGTTCGCATAATACTAAGCTATTGCACTATAGAGCAGTAAAGAAAATGTACCCAAATGATGGTAAACAGTCAAATAAAATGGTCCAATTGAAAGTATTGAGCGACAAGAGTAGACGGAACAACTTTCGAGTCATTTGTGAAGCAGACTTTGACGTCGATGAATTGACGACAGAAACCATCGGTATATTCTCATCGGGGATAATATCCATTTTCGATAGATTTCTCTGGCATAGTTTCTAAAATTTAGGGCTACCTCTAGGAAAATGTTTACTGTAAAATTCAATCTTTTGCTTGAAGCTTGTATAAAAAAAAGAAATCCGTGAGGTATTGTAATTTCGAAAAAAATGAATGGTTGTGTGTACTTGGAGTGACAACCGCTCTTTATCATATTACAAAAATAAAGAGTGTGGATAGTACCGAAAAGAAGATTCTCATGCACACTTACACCTCGTACTATTGAAATTTAGCCAAGAAAGAAGCCGAATAGAAGAATGCTAATGACGCATGGTGGGTGAGACCGATGATAAATGATAGTAAACAATATACACACTGATCCTCACTCATACCCACATGTCCACCCTCATTATGGTATCATGTGATATCATCAAATATATTGACTTGTTTGAAATAATTCTAAACAAAAGTGCTATGTTTTTTTTTGTTTTTCTTTCTTTAGTAATCTTGTAGATATATATGATCTTTAAAGTTATTCTTTTTCTATTATTCGATGACGAATAATGACATTTAGATGTATTCTAGTAAAAAATCAAAAATGATGATCGGCAATGATAATAGTCTTCAATCAGGTATGTTTCTAAACAAATAAGATAATCTATATTGAGTTGATCAATCTCCTCTCTTTTATCTAGATGCAAGAACAGAACGAGACCAAGGAAAAAAGATTCAATTCAGCAATATTTTCGTTGCTAATGTATTACAATATTTTTTGTCTTTTAATTTTCATAATTATCTTCTTTTTGCAAGACTGTTGCCGATACAATTTGTACCTGTCCTGATCCACAAGTAATACTCAAAGTTTGCTTTTTTTTCTTGTATAAATTTCCTTTAATAGATGGTACTTGATTCTATGGGTGCTATTGTCTTAACGAATGATGACAATGCTATTTTACGTGAAATATATCACACTAATCGAGTTTTTTAAATGATTTAGATTTAAGTTCAACATCCTGCTTGTGAATCAGTGATTGAAATAAGTTTAACACAAGATGAAGAACTCAGTAATGGTACATTATTCGTTCAAACTGAATATTATCTCCCACAAGATACTAATTGATTTTAAAAATCGTGATGAAATGTTAGATGTAGTTAAAAGTTGTATTAAAACAAAATATTTATCAAGATGGATTATTTAAAGATTATTTTGTTTTTTTATGACTAAATAAAATTAGGAGTGATTTGGCTTGGCGAACATTAGTTGATGCTATACAAACTATAATGATCGATGAATTGTTCTTTTCATTGTTTATTTAGACGAATTGAAAATTCACGAATTGTTTTGCTTGATTGTTCACTCGAATATAAAAAAAAAATGAAAGTCAAACATCACTCGACTTTAGTAGTAATCTGATTTTACATATGCATAAATGATTTTTATATTGTGAGCCGTTAGAAAATAGATTTACTCTTTCTCTTGGTAGAAGAATTACAATGTTCTATCGTATGTTTTTCTCTGTTCCAATAAAATAAGAACAAAAACGGTACATTGTCTCACTGAGGTATGCATCAGCTTCATTTACCCGGGTATCAGTCCATCTGATGAACTGTTTTTCAGTTATTGACTGAGTCTAGTGCAATCCTGACATGAATGATAATTATTTATCATAGAACAAAGATCAATAGAGATTTGGTAACAGGACACTGAATGTGTATCTAGTTCAGGTGGATACCCAATCAATCAGCCAGAAGTGGTCAACCGGTGTATACCTAGGTTCACTGTAATTTTGAAGATAATTGAGAAGATCATAGATGCCGCAAAAAATAATTCCAAAAAAACACATTGGCGAGATTTAGAATTACCAAAAATTCACTTAACTTTTGACGATTTGTGTGTAACTTTGATATTGATTAAAGAGATTTGCATTAATTGCATTCATGCGTACAAACATGAAAATACATATTCATAACATTTAGCAGAGTGTTTAAATACACATGCTAAATTCATACTTTTCTGCGACAGTACGTGAAACTCCACAAGAACCTTGCCAAACTGTGGACGAAAGTCTTATTGGCGAATGAATAGGATGTGGGTGTAGACGCAGAGGATAGACACACCTATACCCTACCCGTTTTTTCTTCATTCGAGAATCAATCCTCATTGATCGATTTCTCGAACGGATTCGAAAAGAAAACAGGTTCTCGTGCTCGATGCGTCATGCATAGTTTGTACGAACTTGCTCTCAAACGGCAAAATTCAATAGAGAAATAAATGATCTATGAAACCATATCATGAAAAAGAAATTTTTGTTGTTTAGATGGAATTCGATCAGCAAACGGTATCACTTTGATTTTTTTTCGAAAAGAAAACAAAGAGTAACAGAACTTGCAGACATTTACCTTAGCAAGGAACTCTCTGCGCGCTCTTCTTTGCTTTTAAGATTAAACAAAAGGCTTTTCTTTTGAAATGAAAGCCAAAATGAAGAAAACATTCATGGTGGAATGAAGATCTCTAAGGCCCAATCAAAGTTCCGATCTCCGTCAAGAAAATTTTGTGCAACCTAATTGGAAGTGAGTGTTGAAGTTATATAGCGAAAACTTTGGGCCCCCTCCTTCTCCTACAGACCGCGACAGACAGACAGACAGACAGACAGACAGAATAATTTTTATCATACCGAATAGTATTGACCTCTGTGAACACTATTGATAGATCAGTTAGAATACAGTATTCTAGTATTGACTGGAAAAATACTGCATCTCACCTGATACGATTGCAATAGCAATCAGAATGATTTTAAGAGCAAAGAACATTTCCATTTTTTTCTACTATATCGCATGCTCAAAGAACTCCGAATGCTCTCCACATATAGTAGTAATTTTATCATATCCTAACCTTTTTCTTTCTTTCTTTCTGATGGTTAAAGGCATCTACGTTATTTTACATGTCATAGTGCTAGTCTCTTTCAATGTAATTCTCCCAGATATAGTATAGAACGCGTACTGTCTTCCACTTTTCTGCCATGAATAACGAATATTCTCATCACTATGTAAGCAAAGCATCATTTAGACATCAGCCAGTAAGATCTACGGTGAAATTAACTTGTATATGATATCTTATTTGTTTTCGGACGAAAGCAAAGCAACAAGGACAAGCAATTATTGTTAAGTTTAGTTAATGAGATTGTCCTGTTTCTTTCGATAGTCTTTACATCGAAGATAAGTTTCGAGGATACCATAACAAATCATACTCACTGTCAGATAGACGAGAAGAAGAATGAGTGTGAGATAGATTGTTATGTAGCTAGCATACTATAAGAAATACGAAGCAAATTTAATGAAAAAATAGAGAGGTAAAGAGCCTTACGCTGAGTGAAATAAGAGAGCCGACAGATTTCCAAAGACGATATTTCGCCACAACACTTGGATCACTTTCAGAATAGAGAACCGTGTAAGTGGCTGAAATACATACATCATCAATAAATCAAAATGAAACGAAATATACCGATGACTTGGGACTGCCAGACAGCATCTGCTGCGCCCCAACAACCGGCGATAACAAAAAGAATGATCATTTGACTATCATCTGGTTGCCAGAGAAACATCAGAACAATCATTGCATAATTGAGTGCGGCTGCTATGATGAAACATCCTTTTCGGCCTACACATTTGACAAGGTGACCAAAGAGATAACTGCCTATTACATCACATATCCCGTGGCACATCATGACTAAACCAACATAGCTAATGAATAATAAAGTCTATATGAAAGATTATTAGATCAAATTATACCGAATACCGATGAGACAATTGACAAATCCCTGTAATCGAGATCAATATAATTAACGTAAAATGAAAATGCATTTGTTTCTATGTATTCTTACTCGAGTAAATTGTGCTGTAAAAAAAGAGTTCTCGATGAGAGTCCACATTGTAAGTGGAATCAGAAAAAATTGATCTACGCTTTTCCATCGAGTGAAGGATTGAAGCACTTCAATACACTTTTTCAATGATTGTTGAACGGGCTCTACTTTAATGAAGTCATCTTTCTCAACGATCAAAATAAAAAGTCACTAACGTTTTTGGTTGAGTCGAATTTGATCAAGCATAAACACCAAAAGTATAATGGAGAGGATGCCCAAACCAGAGAATATTCCACATAGAATATAACGCTTTAATACACGGCATGCAAATGATTTACCTGAAAGAAAAACAAATTATCTCACCGTTTTCTCGCTAACATTGCTCGTCATGTTCACAGTTACGGCTGCTTGTGGATCGAAATAGACACCACAGTTGAGTTTTTGTGGATAGTTCGATTGATTTAGTACAAAGTATGAAATTAAATTGCCCCAAATGGCACTGGTACCAACACAAGCAAAGAATATACCAAAAAATAGACTAACAACCACGTCAGTCATTTGATGCTTTGCTTGCGCGTATAGACGAGCAATTTGACTAAGATAGGTTGCTTGAGCTGTCCATAATGGAGCAGCAGCAAGGCCGACAAAAGCTGCACCTAGAGAAGCGAGATAGTCTTCATAAATTTCTTATAGATTAGTGGCGTAACTAGATGGGGACTAGGGGAATTCAGCCCTACCTCCACCTCTCTACAAGACTTCCAGTCGTTTCTACTAATGACTAACGAGGGAACCTATTCAACTGTCCAATCGCTTTTGAGTTCGAACTCAGTTTGAAAGATAGACCCCAGTGAGGTATGAAAAGGCCCAAAAGGATAAGTGCCCATAGGCCTTCCGTCCAGAGTTATAGGCATTTTACTAGATTTTTAGCCTATGGCACAGTATATACCAAAAAATCGAATGACAATATTTCGAGCTGAGATTTCGTCCAACGATAGGTCTATGTACCAATAGAATGCCCTGAAAATTTCAGCTCAAAAGAATGTTTCAATCTCGGGATATTAAACTCCCAAAAATCACGCATATCCCGCGAATGATGCTAGAATTTTTTGGCTTTTGGGTGTTCAATATCTCGAGACTGGAACATTCTTTTGAGCTGAAATTTTCAGGGCATTCTATTGGTACATAGACCTATCTTTGGACATAATCTCAGCTCGAAATATTGTCATTCGATTTTTTGGTATATACTGTGCCATAGGCTAAAAATCTAGTAAAATGCCTATAACTCTGGACGGAAGGCCTATGGGCACTTATCCTTTTGGGCCTTTTCATACCTCACTGGGGTCTATCTTTCAAACTGAGTTCGAACTCAAAAGCGATTGGACAGTTGAATAGGTTCCCTCGTAAGTCCTCCTTCGAAAAGAGTTTGAGTCTCCTTTAAAAACGTTAAAAGAAGATTCTCCATCTTTCTACGGACATGGTCAGACGGACAAAGCCCTCTCCCCTCTACGACATTTTTCTTGTGCCCCACTTGTGCAGATATTTGTTTAAAAAAAGACTTACTAATGTACATAAGTGAAGGTAAAGGACGAATATTAGCGACAATAAATAGAATATAGCCAACTTCGGCGAGAACAATACTCCATTTCAATCCAAAAATGTCCATAGAGATACTGGTAAGAAAGATCGAGCTAAACTAGAAAAAGAGAAAAATTTTGTTCTCACTATTGTAGTCCCTACTCACAATCACTAAGACATTTGTGACAATGAGCGCATTGATCCCAACATTGTTTTTGGTGTTTAAGGTTGACTGAAGAGTGGATATACCGGCATAGGCCGTGAATAATAATGCAAAAGCCAATGAAAGAATCAATAGATTTTTGTAAATTTTATTAATGGAAAATCGGAATGACTGATCATCAGAATTGTTGTTAAGAGGTAGAACAATGTCTGATAACGAAGTATGATTGTCGACGATCATATTGCCAACTTTGGCACCAACTGCTATTTGGTCTTCGGCCGATGAACTAACGAACGACAATTTTCTTGGAATGGTATCAACATCATCAATAATATGAGCCATTTTTCGTTTTTTTTTGTAGATTGACACTGATAACAGAGCTAACGCATTTTATTGTACTGATAAGAGCACACAGTAAGGTGAAAAATGCGTTTACAATGCTATTGATGTTTATTTCACAACAACACAAAGAAAGAATGAAAAAAGTCAGTACAGCCTACAGAATTGTCGTGTGAGATACGTGGAAACTGATCGAGATGCAAATGAGAACTGCTGCTTGGTCTCATGCATAGTCCACAACGAGATCAAAAGAGCATATCAACACGTCGACCTATGATGGGCTTGAGCCTAGTGCAAAGCGAATGAAAGCTGCTATGAAAAGAGCAATAATGGTTCAGAATGAGATTGGATTCGGACGCCTTTCATTTTTGCTTAGAAAGACAGGGTTACTGACGAAACTGCAGCAACTCGCTCAACTGCAACACATGCCACAAACAGATAGGATAACACGTAAACAACATTAAAAACAAGCCGTTTTCGTTTCAATTTAACATAAAAAGTGGTTGCGTTAGGTTGAAAACAACACATGTGAACTATGAAATAGCGTTTCACACTGACATGCATTTAGAATAATTGATTAATACTGACATTCGTCGGTTTCAACATGTTAACACGTGTCTTACAAGCACGTATCAATACCTGTTACATGTAAATGGTTTGATACATGCTCTAATTCAACTCTTTGACACACATTTCACTTCAACAGTAACTGCACAATTATACACGTTGATTTCCATGCAACGTAACCATCTTTTTTTTTGTTACGCTAGATGGGTAAACTTAATATTTTCTCTCTTTACTATGGAGTGCCATTCACACGTCGCCACACAAACACGTATTCATGTCTCTCTCTCTTCTAAAAATGTTGTCTTTATATTGGCATCTGACATCATATTCTTTTTCCTTCTCATTTGAATATAGTCCCGACTGAAAAGCGATTGAACAGTTGGTAGATTTCCCTTGTCAGACTGTAATCCTTTCAAGATCATATTATATGCTAATCTTCTAGTTTCAATTCAGTGTTGATGAATTCAAAAAAAAAGGAATTGCTTTTTCTCTGTCTAATATAATAAAATATATTACTTTATTTCATTGTCAAATAATACTTTTAATGTATTTAGTATTGCTTTTTCAATGTATTATCTAAAAACTGTTTAGCTTTTTGTTAGTATACATTATTAGACATCTAGATGTTTCCTGAAAAATATAATTACACCAATTTTTCAAGAAACACTTGTGCTTGTTCACAATAACAGAATATTGACAACAAAGTTAGTTTATTTTCGACAATTTTATTAGGACAACATTTATTGTTTGGTTGATATCGATACATTATTACATCAACACTCTCTTTATATACACTTCAAAATTTGATTAGTAAAAGAAAAACTTAGTTATTTAATTTATTTGCAGATATATTAATTGTTTTGTCAATTTGTGTCTGAATTAACTCGATGTGTTCGACATAGCCATACTTTTGTAAGTATGACAGCTATACGTTGAGTAATAATTACCAAACCACCATAAATATTAATGAGTGATGTTATTATTTCAATTGTACTATGATGTCCAAGATATGAATAACTACATAATGATGGTTGACATCCTTCAAAATATTTATCATAAGATGATTTAAAATGGACTCAATAGTTGTACTAATGTTGAATTGACTTTTTTCTAAAGAAGAAATATCTAGTTTTAAAAATTGACTATTCGAATCGATACATTGTTGATCATAGAAATATTGAAGTGTCGGTTGAAGAAGAGCTTCAATTGGATAACAACCACTCATCATACCTCTTGATGCATATAATGCTTTATTTGAATTTCCAGGACATTTATTTGAATTTCCGGACAACCCTTTTGTTTCCTGTTAATCAAGATATAGGAGGCATAAGTAGGTATAGGAGGCATAAGGAGGTATAAGAAGGTATAAGGAGGTATAAGGAGGTATAAGGAGGTATAGGAGGTATAGGAGGTATAAGGAGGTATAAGGAGGTATAGGAGATATAGGAGGTATAAGGAGGTATAGGAGATATAGGAGATATACGAGGTATAAGGAGGCATAGAAGATATTGGAGATATTGATTGATTGGTGCAGCTAATGATTCAATAGTGTTTGAACTTAAATATCTATTCACAAAATACACTGCTGCCACTTGCCAAACCTTGCTCGAAAAAATCACTTTCTACACCTCCCATGTTTCCGATACCGCCCTGTGCCTTCTTATATCTCCTATACCTCCTTATACCTCCTATACCTCTTATACCTCCTTATACCTCCTATACTTCTATTACCTACGATATCTTCATAATCCGAAAACTAAAGGAGTTTCCGGAAATTCAAATAAGGGATCTAATCATTATGCCTCTCGATTTTTAAGTAAGAACATAAGATGGGTGCACATTGAGCATAATATTTTTCATATGAAATATTTGTAATCAATTTTTCTACCATAAGGTGATCGATGATTGTTTTTATTGTCGAGTTAGATTTGAATCGGCTCGGTTCAGATTCATTCATTGCTGTAAATCTTTCAGTTGTGGGAAAGAATGAGAGAAGTTCATTCAAACATTGTTGTTTGTAGAAATATCCAAGTGTTGATAAATAAAGTACATTGGCAGGTAGACAACTGGACACGAGTCCAGGAATTTCCATCAGCAACTGTACATCGTCAGGAGCATTTACTTGAGAAGGTTCTCCAAATATATTAGTTATAGCTGAAATTGTTCCACAGTCAAGATTATTGAAGCATAGACACCAGATTTCGTTACCGAACATATATACCATTTGGGAGCTGTATACGTCGTACGTTTGATTGCTGATGACATAGTATGATGAAATACTATTCGTCTGAAGTCCAGAGAAGAGGCGATTGTCCATTATCATTCGACGTACTAATTGTAATTGTGTTACAAATTGAGTTGATGCAGCTGATTGAAATTGTTCAATGGATGCTTGAACTTGTGATTGAATGACAGTTTTGGATAGCACTTGTGCACTGATAAATGAAGTCATATGGAATGAAGCAATCGCTTGAAGTACACTGTCTTTCGAAAGACGACAAAAACTGGCAAGTGCTTGAGACAGAGCATTTCCATAAGTACAAAAGTCAAAAAGATAGAAATAGGTCGAATTTGAACCAAAGAAAATGACCTCAATCTATCAATCAGAAACAAAGTCACTTGAACAAACTTGATGAAAAGTTTATTGAATTGAAGTGAATTCACCATATCGAATAGATATGCAAGAACATGGATAATAAGCATCGAAAGGCAAAATTTCGAACTGAGCTCTACTTGGATATTCATCTGTGATCATCGTTGTTTGAGGACTTAAATAGACGACAAGAACAATAATGATAAGTACTAGTGTGACAATGATGAGACAGATCCGAGTAGCAATAATACTGAAACGACGACGATGTTCATCTTCTGCATCGATACTATTATCAGGTGATTCGAAAAGATTTAAATTCAGAAGATAGTTTTTCACAGAAGACATTCTATGAAAAAAATAAGAACATCACCACTTGTATTTCTCTAATAAATGTAAGCATTGCTTATAGATCATAGAAGAATAGTGTCTTTAGGTAATGAAATTTAGTTATGCATCATCTATTCATACAAAGAAAAAGCCATAAAAGAAATTTGTTTAAAACAATAAATGACGTTGTCTTCAAACACATTTACGTTTGAAGATTGGATTCTATACGTATGTGAAAGATGTAACTTTTCTGTTAATGATGGTTATAATAATTTTTTTTGTGTTGCCATAGCCACAAGCATGAAGCAATCTTGTTAAATCTGAAGAAAGCTAGTTTGAGTTGAAAAAAGATTCTGTCTAAATGAATTGAGGGAATATGAGTGATTTTGATTTGATAAAATGAGTGAAAAAAAGAGTATTGGGAGATTTGATATTATTCATATACTGCTAAAATTGTCTGATTTATTATGAAGTTATTTAAAATATTGAAATAGATAATGATGTTGAAATCAAAGCTTTTCTTACTAATATTTATTATGAATAAACATTGTTAATCAATCTTTAATAAAACTGAATTCTTACATCATATCAAAGATCGAAATGAATTTTGTTACAAAATCGATTAAATACAAGTTAATCTTCATTAGTTTTAATCAATTTTCATCACATATAATTCAATCAATTATTTTAAAATTACCTATAATCAACGAATTAATTAAATATCAGTAATTATCAGATTAATTATTTTGATGATAATTGATTTCGAGCTAATAGGTAATCGATTATAAATATAATACTGATAATTCGACTGTTCATCCGATTTAGAGATGGGCGAGTGTTGGTGCGCTAGTGTGTTAGTATCTCAGTGTTCGTACCGACACTGACAAGAATACTCGGACAGAAGATCAAAAGACTTTTTGCCTTCAGTGGTAAAGAAGTGCGACACACATGTATATAATAGACAAGGAAAAAATTACAAAGATATTTGTCCACTATATACTTGTCGCTCTTTTATCTTCATGCAAAAGAAAATACATAAGGAACAGTTAATATTTGCTCTGTCTCCATTTTTCATTTTTGAATTCAATTTTGTAGTAAAAGTTCTGGTGCATATTGTATTTTGTTCATTGTTTTTCGAACAACAATCTCAAATATCATAAAATCAACTGGTTTTTTTGCATTTTTATAAATTGGTTTTATGGTATTTGAGGTTGTTGCCTGAAAAAAGTTAAGCAAAATACAATATGCATCAGAAATTTTACTACAGAACCGAATCAAACAACGAGAAATGGAAGCACAGTATATATTAGCTTTTCCTTATATATTTTCTTTTGCGTAAAGATAAAAGAGCGGCAGTACATATGGGACAAATATCTCTATAATTTTTTTCCTTGTCTATTATATACATGGGTGTCGCACTTCTTTACCACTGAATGCAGACAATCTTATGATCTTCTGTCCAAGTATTCTTATCAATGATGATCAGTAGTAGTGTTTCATTGTTCCAGTGATCATCAATATTGATGTCGTCAGTTATCAGTATACCGACGCTGATCCATTCCTGATCTGATTAGTTATTGAAATTTTTTTGATACGAAATTGTATGAAAGATAATAGGATGATAAAGAGGACCTAGCTGAATTTGGTTACTGGAAATAGACAATGCCAAAGAGACGCAGCGTCAAAAATAAAGTTATTAAATGTAAAAGATGACGAAAATCAAATGTAGATAATATAACATAAATGCTATGCGAATAATGAAAATAATCACATCGATCTATTATATAGTCGATCATTTATCGTGACAAACAAAACCAGCAAATCTTGGAAATAAAAATACACTTTGATTGTCACTTCTTTTTTTTATCTGATTCTGTTGTACAAAAAATTTGTGCTCTATGATATATTCATGTGCTTATCTGTTCCTTTCTTGGACATGATAAAAACTGTTCACCTAAAAAGTCTAACCTTAATTTGACTGATATTCAACGATTTACTTGAACATTATTTTTCGGCATTTTTTCGTTCTATTAAATCGATACACTCTTTCTTATAAGAAGAATAGCACGACAAAAGCATTTCAGATTTGTAATCTGATTTTAATACATTTTGCTTGGTATGTTTTTTTTTCAAGTAAACCTTCACAACTATTTACTTTATGTCTACTGAAATGATGGTTTCATCAGCAAAGAGATTATGTATTTTGTTTAATACAATCGACGTCTGTCAGTGTAACAGATATTCTTGAAGATTTTGTCTATATCATACTGACGAACATCATCAATCACTTGATGAATAGCTTGATTAGTTTACTGAACTGCTGATTATGATGACTTGGCTAAAGATCTTGATATTCGATTATTGGTATTGCAAAGATGCCATTTATCAAGGAAATTATCGATACATGGAAAAACGGAACAGTAGAAGTTATTCACTAACATAATAATCGATGCACAACGTGCATTCTACGATGCCATAGGTAAATATGTGGACGATGTGAAAAATAACGGAAAATATTGATAAAAAAATCTGTTTCAATCATACATGAAAAATAATAGTGTTGACGAAAAGAGTTTAAGACAATGATCTGCTATACTATGCAACCAAAACAAGTTTTAGTCGTAATATTAATCTTTGATGTATGTATTCATAACAACAACCTGTTGGTGTTGTGTTTGTTAGGATTCAAAATACGATCTTTCATTTGAAAATACGTATGTCAAACACACATCGTCTCAAGAACAGTTGCAGAGTTCTGCAAGATGCATTTGAACAAAGACATGTTTTGAGAGTATACAGGTTACAATAGAGTAAGAGAAGATGTCTGTAGAGAAAAAATTATGCTTCACACATCTATGGCTTCTAATCTGCTTCTATCATTCATAAAAGATGATCATTTTTCACATAGTTGTGATGATGCTCAACTACTCGGAAATGGACAAGTTGTCATTCAGGATAAACTACTCAATGAAACTCCTCTATCCTTCTTTTTCCTTTACAAACAACGATTTACAAATACAACAAGAATAAATTATTCATTCAACAATATTTTATGTATATATTAACACATCGTTATCATAAAAATAATTTAAAATTTCTGTTTTGTACGTCGAAATTGTTTAATTCAATATTGACCTATTTTCGATGGGTTTATTCCAGACAAATAGCTTGAAACTGGAAGCTTCTTATGGAATATGTATCCATAGAAATCTAAATTGTATTCGTGTACAATGAAAGAATATCGAATGTTTTATGTTATTTATTTTATTTCAAGATATTGCTCTCAATTATTTGAATAAATTATGTTATAGAAAATCTGCGCAAAATATGTTTCTTATATTGTCGATTATTTCGAAATCATTAGAGTGAATCTAAGATAGTCAATTAAAAGTAGAATTTTTTATGCTCTTTCTAAATGTATGCTTGAAATTCTTTCTCATTTCATATTGATCAATCATAAACCAATATTTGCATGAAATTTATATAAGATTTTGATTAAATGTTGGTTTGGATATTATTACTGAATCATTCAGTGAATATAGAATTAAAAATGTTATAATCTTTAAAGAAGAGCTGAACTTTCTGTAGGATTCGATACGTTTTGATAAGATATATAGTTTGATCATTAACGTTTCAACATTTATATCTATACAACTAACAAAAATACTATATTTGTTTGTAACACAAAAGAAAATAAACAATTTAATCTAAACACGCGATCATTTTTAGTACATACTGTCGAGCATTTTGCAGTTCATTTGATAATACTTGATATTTATTTGTTAATATTGATAATTTATTTTTTAATTTTGTATTTTCAGTAGTTAATTTAATATTTTTTGTTTGTAAATCCTGCATAAAAAATAATTCATTATTTTTATTTTTTATTTCTTTTTCTTTTATATTAAGTAATGTTCGCATTGAATCAAGTTCTAATTTATATTGATGCAATAATGATGATGATTTTTCTAATTCATTACAAAGTTTACATATTTGTTCATTATGTGTTTCTTTTAATCGAGTTATTTCTCGTTCATATTCTTCTATTTGTTTAATAAAATCACGTGACAAATCACTTTTATAACGGCTGTTGTTATCATGACTAGGTTCAGATTTTACTATACGCTTAGCACTAGAAGATATTATTGAATTGATATTCATCTTAAAGAAAAAACAAAATATATTTTTTAAAATTTGATGTGAGAGTTGTAACATATGAATAGAAAATTGACGATGTAGAAGATAATAGAATAAAGGAATGAAACCAAAATGATAGATCTTACTCATGTCCATATGAAAAAGGTAATTTTATTTTCTGGATAACTTTCGGCTAATGAGGAAACCTTCTTAGATGTTTCCTTCCGATTCCAATGATTTTTTTTTGCCTATAGATGCTACATAATGTTTTAATAAAAACTCTAAAAGGATTTGGGTTCCTATTGAAATTTGACTAAGTCAAGGAAAAAATTCGACAGCTTAGTCAAATCTCAATAGGAACCGAGATCATTGTAGGGTTAATATTAAAATACTATGTAATATCTATCGGCAAAAAATCATTGAAGTCGAAAGAGGATATTTGAAGAGATTTCCTTGTAAGGAAAATATTTTTTCCAATCGATTTAGCTGATGATCCACGCGAAGGTAAGGTTACCGTTTCTATTTCCCATTTTTAAGATTATTTTTCTCTATAAATTTTCCTATTAATCTCACAAAATAATTCTTAAAATGCTTCTTTACCTCAATGGATATCATGAGAAATGATTAAGAAAAAAAAATGAGCACTACAAACTTCTAGTATATAAAAAAAATGAAAATTTATATCGTCAATAAATTAAGGTAAATATGGTTTGGAATTCATAAGCACATTTACAAATTCCTTCGTACTTTTGTATTAAATTATTGTATTTATAACTCGAAATTTCTTTCTGAAATAATTTTAATCAAAGTATTAAAATTTCTGCTTCATATCGAGCGAGATAAATAAAAAGAAAAAGAATTTACATTATTCAAATAATTAATTAATTTAACGAATTTTAATTGAGCGCCGTTCCATTATTCTTCTAAAACACTAACATCAACAGAGACAATCGAATTACTCAATTGTTGTTTTAAATAAAAATTAATTCGTTTATTGATACTCAACGGTCAGAATAGGGTTAATCAATGTTTGTATACATCTTTTTAATAATCCAGTTACAAAAAAGTATTGATTAGTCGTTCAATTTCTTTTTTGTTGTACAATATAATGTGCTAAAAGTATTTGATTATCAATTAATATATTAACGTGTACCGATATAGTTCTCTATGATATATGTGAATATAGTAACAAAATGATTTTTCTTAACCTTAAAAATGGGTATTTTATGAACGAACAAACGAGGCACATAGAGTGAATAAAGATGGCGTGAATTAGTTATTGGTTTATCGAAAAAGTATAGTAGACAACTGAAAATCAAAATTGAGATGAACGAGATATAGTATAAATCATCTCAAGTCACAAAATAGTGTCATATTAATTTTTTCATTGCAGCAAATTTTTTTAACATAAATCGACAAAGAATTGATTATTATGATCATTTCATTCAGTGAATAATTCGAGCAGATTTCTTTATAGTCTTGCATCTGGTTGCATTAGTAAACCTGACAAGTTTACCATTGAGTACATCAATTATGGTAGTTGCTTCTTAACGTTGTTTCAATGCATACGTTGATTATACAAACAGAAACGAGAGTGTACAGAAATCGTTCAAATTATCCTGTCGCAAAATATGAACTAAAACTACCCTGAAAAAAATGTTCTCACAATACGTTTTACTTCTACTCACACTTCTATAGCATTGACAAGGAAAGGTTATGAAATACTCAAAACGAACGCTTCCTTTCGTTTTGAAAAACTTAACAGATACTATGTCATAGTCAATCATTCTCGACGTCACCGATTCCAATAAGTAAAAACCAAAAAAATCGGTTCTAATTTCAGTCTCTAAAACGTATCGTTGGTCCCAATGATCTAATAATTTTTCTTTCTAGAAGTTTTTAAGTTATATTTCATTATTCGACGTTGTTAATGTTTATTATTTTCGAAAAAGTAATTTCTTCGAAATATAAAAAGACAAAAAGAAAAATCAGGACTTTTAATCAGCTGTGTAACATTTTCATTGATAAAGAATTATATTGAAGTACCTAGTTACACATAAAAAGAACATTTTAGTGTTACATCTAGTTCTTAGTAGTGTCCTGTACGAGTACGACTTTTCGCAATCGAACCTAAATCGGTACTTTTTTTAATGTCCCGATCCGTACCGAAACTAATTGACATTCGGCAGATACTTTCATAATCACAGCACGTTTTTCAAACTTTTATTTTATATGAAAAAGTATACTCTTTAGTTTCTCTCATAAACAGCAGCATAAGAGCAAGTGATTCAGGATTCATTTGATGTCTTTCTACTTCTAAAATCCGATTACTTTCGCTAACTATATATTTGCTTCTTGTTGATGACGCTGGAATGGAACACAGTGTTGATATCAAGTGTCATAATTGTGAATACATACATGAATGCTTTCTTCATCATGCTAATACAAGTTCACTTTTTTGATGATTCATTTTCCTCTCCATATTTTCAGTTATTTCGTCCTATGGCTCATAATCATCTGTAGATTAATTGTCATTAAAACGTATCATTTTTAATAAAATAGTACCGCTTTTCACTTGTGTAAGAATAAATTGCTCCATCATGATCGAATCGCACTTGGTCCCTGACCTGGTCGCAGAACACTAGTTCTTAGTGGCAACTAGGACACGTTCAGTATATTGATACTCTTTTTTTTCCTGCCTATCGCATCTCCAATGGCATTTAGCCAACTTAACTGAAAAAGTTTATTCTTTTTTCTTTACTTATTAAAAGACACTGAAAACTCTTATTTTATTTTCTTCTCTCGGTAGTCTTGAGACGTATATTAAGTAAAAAAAAATCATCAATAGAACTGAGAAATTTTATGAAAAAAGCCAAATTTTGTTCGAAGGAAACTGTCAAATAAAAAAAATAAGTGAGTTTAGCTCTTACTATGCTAGAATAACAGCATGTAACTGACTATGCTGTGATCCCACAATACATCAAGTTAATTAATCCAACTATTAATTCATTTGTTTGTATTCAGAACAAAATCTGTATCTTTGTACATTCGTACGTCAATGTCATTTCAGTTCATACTAAACACCGACTCTCATACATTTTTTTCTTCGTTTTATGACATTAAATGAATGGATATGCACAGAGATACCAACGTGTCTTAGCAAACACTTGGAAATCAAAAGTTGATTAAGTACAAAATCACAAAAAGCTTTCAAATGCTATGTAAATATTTTTTTTCCTAACTAATCATAATATATATCTTCTCTTCAAGTTAATATATTATTAATATTTCTAAAAACTAAATATATATATATATAATTCTCTTAAGAAATTCCATAGTCAATCATTATTATTATCATCGTTTTCTACATAAATACAGAAAAAAAAATATCGAACAGAAATAAATACAATCAAATATGAAGCATACTAATAATTTTTTCAATTCTTTGTATAGCTGCATCAAACATAGATATTTTAATTGTAAATAAATCGGAATCATCAATTGAACGAAGACGTTCTAATTGTTCCATAAATTCTTGTCCTATAGCTGAACATTTCAATTCACGTATTCTTATTTGTGCATCACGATCAAATGATTCATTATCTAATTTAGCACTAAGAATTTGTGTTTGTGATCGTTTTAACATTGATGTTGATAATTGTTGATGCTTATTGTTGTTATTATTATGATGTGGTAAACGACGTGGTGATCGAGTAACTTCATCATTTATTGCTAAGACTGTAGTCGAACGAGCAAAGCGAAATTCATTTGAATGTGGTATTGGTGCTGGTATCGGTGGTGGTGGCATTTGAGATTTTGCTATTGCTTCATTTGTAATATTTTCTGTTGATGATACCATTGTATTACTTTTATCACCAAATAACTAAAAGTAAAAAAAACAAGTGATTATATTAGCTTAAGAATATATTAAACTTACATCAAGAATACGTGTTGTTTGTCGTTGAGTACGATTTGTTGGTCGAATAACATTTAATACTTCATTTTGATCTAATCTTTCAGGAACAAATTGTCGTTCATTTAAATTTTCAGCTAACGGTTCACCAGGCTATATTTAAAAAAAACATAAGAAAAACAATTAGTGTAATCCATCTAAGATTAAAATGTAAAACACAAGGGACTTGCATAAATTGAAAATTAACGGTGTTTGTAATTTTTAATGTATGGATATGTCCGTGATAAAAGATATTATTCGTAATAATATATTACAGTGAGTTGAGAAAGGAAAATAAAGACAGGTATCTTACATGGGGAAGTATCCCAACTGTTTAAGAGCTTTTAGTTGCAAGTAGGTTTTGTTGAGACTACGAAACATTCGTGTTCACGATTCTTCCCTCTCGAGATATATGATCAAATATATATCGAAAAAAAAATAATTTTTTTAATAAGACCTTTTCTTTGTAATTCTAAATGTTTTGGATATTAAACAAACTATTCAAGAAACTCGATCACGGACATTAGTATATGTAAATTTCAAATATCAACTAAACTAAATTATCAAGTATTGAAGATTCACTAGTAAACTATTTTGTCTCAAAAATATTTTCTTTTATGTATCAGAAAAATAATGTTGTCGAAAGTTGTTTCTCTTTTGAATCGTCTCTATCGAATGAAGATGTTTAACTTCTGGTTTCATTTATTGTTCATGATGTCAGAACGTATTATGTTTTCAGCACTTCTACACAGATTGTTACCATTATCATTAAATAAATTTCTACTTTTTTTCTCTATAATTTTACCTTAACTTAAATATTACATCATTCTCTTTTTGTTTTGTTTTTTAATACATAAGAGAAAGTGTTTCGGATGAGATAATTTACAAGTAAATCTTTAGCACTTTATAATTTAGTTTAGTCGACATTTGAAAATTTAGATATATTATTAGTGCCTATGAACAGGTTTCTTCAATAGTTATGTTTAATATACGAAATATTTAGAATTATAGAGAAACGATCTTTAAAAAAATCATAGAAGCTTTTTTTTTGACATACATTTAATCTTATCTCGAGAGGGAAGAGTCATGGACACGAACGTTTTCGTAGTCTCAGCAGAAACAGTTGGAGGACTTCCCTCATTAGATTTCGTTGACCTTCATAATAGTCTCACAGAATGCTTCAGTTCTTTGGCAAAGTCTATGGGAAGTGTCAGAATTTCTACCCCTACACTTCAACACTCCTTTTACATCGTGTTTCGCAAAAGACTGGACAATATCCCCCAAAATACAACCATTGTTTCATTTTCAGTAGATACCGTTCACCGCTACAACATCAAGCAGGCTTTCTTGAAAAAACCAGCAGCAGTGGATTAATCACTATCGATTTAGAACTATGTGCATCATCTCGATCCTAATGAATTATAAATACTCTGAAACTCACGAAAAACTCATTTTCGAATTTCGACTTGAACATTTGCACAGATAGACTTTAACAAGAATAGTTTGCAATGAAAATATCGGGTCTTTTGAGTTGATTCTGTTCTGAAATAAGAATATCGAGGTGGATATGAACAGTAAAAAGATCTGAAACTTTCATAATAAACTATTCTCATTAAGATCTGTCTGTATGCAAAGTTTCAAGTTGAAATTAAAAAATACCTTTAAAAGGACAATATCTCCGTAACAGCGAGCTAAGGATCCGAACACTTTTCAGGACATTCATAGCTCATTAGAGTCCACATGATATATATATATAGTTCTAGCTCAAAAGTAATTAATCACTTTGAAGACTTCCCTCATTAGATAGATAACAACCATGTGAATTTTTTTAACTAGTCCTATGATCCATTGCTGAAAATAAAAAAAAGAAACCTACATAAAGTCGAACATATTTATATAACCAAATACCAAATGGAACATCGATATTTTTTAAAAGAATTTCATCAACTTCAGTTCGTTCAGGAACAACTAAAGAAATATGCATATAATTAAAAACAAAACCAAAAAAAAAATAACATACTAAGTCCTGGTCCTGTATAACCGATGCGTCGTTTTTCTTCCATTAAATGTCGATAATCATAACCAAGACGACTAAAGAATAAATATTTAAATTTTTATTAATTAAAATTAAAATCTTACTCGCATGCTTGTTTAATTGAATAATTTCCTGGTACAGTATTTTCATCACCATATTGTTCATGTTGTTTACTAAAGATAACAAATTAAACGAATCATTTTAAAATATTTAATATATTCTTACTGAACATTCGATTGACGTGAAACACCAGTTAATGTACGACGAGCAGCTGATGGCATCGGTGTATGAGCTTGATTACGTGGGAAAATTGATCTAGAAATTAACTTTCAAGATAAAAATATTGATTAAAATTAATTATTACGGTCGTGATGGAACAGGTGGATCACGTGTTGAACTCATAGTTGGACGACTTGTTTGACGATGAGTTGTTCTGTAAATGAAAATTAATAAAAAAAAACAACCAACTATTTAAATCACTAAGGAACTTCTTCAAGTGGCAAAGTGTTTTTTCGATCAAAACGATGTTTATATGACGAGTAATAGAAAAATCTAGAATGGCTTTGTTTTACGGACTTTCAACTTCAATCTATGCATGAAAAAAGTCCTTCATGACATTAGTCAATTGTGCAACTAATATTTCCTTTCGAGGAGATATAAATATATGAACAAAATTTACTTTTACACGTAAGACAATTTCGAATAATCCATGTTTCAGGATAGGGAGATACTAGAAAAGCTATAAGCTGCTTAATGACCTAACCTCATTGAGAACTTTAGTCGTGCAAAGTTTAAAGTCGATTTTTCACATAACCATAGCTTTTTATTTGAAAAACTAAGCCATTCTGAACTTTTCTATTACTCATCATGCCTTACTTTAATTGTTGATATTGAGCTGGCGATGGTTGACTAAAAACATAGGAAAAATTCAAATTTGTATACAAAAAAAAAAAGTAATAATATTTACGGTGCAGCTCGTCGAACTGGATGTTGGAGGTGAGACGAAACCATTGGTGGTCGAAGACCACTTGGTGCAGGTGGTCGTAGACCACTAAAAAAAATGCAACAATTCATAAACAATTTATTAATAAAAGTTGTCAACGAGATGTTCTATGACTGACAAAATAAAAAACATACCTCGAACGTATGGCTGACGGCGGACGAAGCATAATCCAAAAATGTCACTTGAAATTAATGATCGATTGAATTCATGTCGAAACAATGGTCTTTGTCCCATTGAATAACGCGCCTGAAAATTAATCGAAAACTTTTTCAAAATATAAAATTTTCTATTATTTCTATTATTAATATTATATAATTTAACAAATTTCTTTAAAATCAAATAAAATTTTATTAAATAGATGTCACTATATATGATAAAATCTATAGAGGTATTGTCATAGTAACAGATTGAAAAAAATTTTTAGAATTAAACAATAGGACAAAATCTCGTATTGACAATAACGAGATGTCTCAATCAATTGATTTTCGTATAAATGATTTTATAAATGAATATCTTGATTATAAAGGTTATACAAATACAGTTGATACATTTTCAAAAGAACGACAAAGTCGCAAAGAATCAATAAATAAGATTGTTAAAGGAAATTTATATGAAAAAGACAAAGAAAAATATCAAATAATTAAAGTATATTATTATTCAATATACATATATATGTATAGATTTGTTTTTGAGTTTATTATTTTTTTTTATTATTAGGAAAAATTATTAAAATGTCTAGACAATGGATATCGAGAAGAATTTTTTCAGCTTTGGTCTGAACATATTCCATCGAGTATCATTGATAATGATCCATCATTAAAATCACTTGAATTTTTAATTTATACTCATTTTGCTATTTATTACTTACGTTCAAATATACCAAATAAAGTATTTTATTCTATTCGGTTTTTTTTTAAATATACATATCTATGATTATTTAGAATGAAAAATTAGCTCAAGAAAATATGTACGAATTTAAAACATATATCGAATCAATTAAAGGTCAAGCTATATCACAAACAAGTGATATATTACCTTTATTTGCTTTACCATATGTTACAGAACCAGAAAAAAATCCTTCATTTCAAGAATTATTTTCAGTTTGTTTTGAATTGTTTTTTTCTTATTTTTTTTGTTAAGAAATCTTTGTTTTTGTTTTGTATTAGGATAAATGGCCTATACAATTACGTACAAAAGTATCAAATTTTTTTGATTGGATTTTTTCAAGTCGACCATTACCAAGTCTTGTTGAATTATTACAAAATGGTGAACGTGCATCACATTTATTATCACAAATAAATAATGAAAATGAAGAACTTAAATATCGCAATAGAGAAACAAACAGACATATTAGACATATAAGTACAGATTATTGTAATTTAATTAGTAAGTTACATTGAAATAAATATGTTCTTTTTTGATTTATTTGTAATTGTTTTAAAGGTATTACAATGGAATTAGTTGAAACATTACAACAAGCTATTGTAGGAAGAAATATTACAAATGAATATATTGATAATGTATGTGCACGACTTGGTCTAGCAAGATTACATGAACCAATGTTTACTATGCTGGATTCTTCTCGTGTAGGGTAATAACATATTTTGTGATAAAAGAATTGTTTTTTTTTCGAATTTTCGAAACACCACTCAATAAGATTTCATATGTTATAGAATGTAGACTAGGATAATTATATATGAAGCAAAGAAATTAAGAGCTTGTATAAAAACATGAATTTTGTCTCGATAAAATTTTACTCAGAAAGTAGTTCATATATATTTAATGGTTGTTCTATTTTCCTACAAACCTTGTCTAGTTCTATCAATTAAAAGACAAAATAAGGGAGGTCGAACAAACCTTATATGAAAAATTCCTACTATGAACCGCATGATTTTTATGCATGTTATTCAATCAGGAAACGTATATTCATGTAAAAGATTCTCATGATGTTTAAAAAGAAAAAAAAAATTGATTGAATAGTTCAATTTCATTGAAATCAACATTGTTTTTTTGTTATAGACTAGATGATCCTCAGACAGAAAAATTAGATTATGGTAAAATAAAACGAGACATTGTACATATATCAACTAGTTCACGTGAAAAAGCTCTTTTACTTCAAGCACTACGTTGGAAATTAACAAAAGCTAAAACAGATTTTAAACGTGAAAAAACACTTGAATGTTTTATTGGTTGTGATTTACTTGGTTGTCGTTCTGATATTGATCAACGAACAAAAATTATTAAACAATTATCATCAACAATTGGTGGTGATACATATTATGCTAAAGAAGAATGGGCTCGTTTAATTAATACTATTGCTTCATTAAGAAAAGGTTTTTAAAAAAAAACTATAATTTTTATTGATTATTTTTATATAGTTTTTAAAAAAATTTCAAGGTCGAAATTATTTGGCACCAAATGACTCATTAATTATTTCTATGCAAAAAGCAGCCATATCAGAATCATCAGATACACTTATAAAACAACATTTATTAGCAGCATTACAAAAGCTTAGTCTTAAGTATAGAAATTTTCGTATGGAAGATCATTGTTGTAAATTTCTTTTATTTTTAGACGATCTGTACAAACTCTACTGATCCATCAAAATATAATTAAATGGTTACTATCATTATTAGGCAAAACAGATCGTCTCTCTGATTATACTCTAGGTAAATCTTCTTATTAATTTTTCTTGTGTGAGTTTTTGCGCGGACCTGTAATGGTTTCTCTGCATCGTCCACATCACAGAAACTAATAACTAGCGAATTTCGGAAGAAGGGGTTAGCATTTAAAACCTGATTTTCCGACACTCAGTAGCTAATAACGCCTATTTGAATATCAGAAAAGCTTTTCAAAACTCTTGATTTTCTAGACAAGTCTTAGCAAAAAAGCTAACTCGCAAGAGAAGGTTACCTTTGGCAAAAGCGATGTGAATTTCGATAATAGAAATCCATGATTGTTTATTCTGGAGCAGGTTTATAATACTCTGTTGCTTTCTTATTGTTTCTTGCTATCCTATAACATACAAGATATGTTATAAGCTGATTCGAATTATTTCGTACGAGTCATTGGAGAGAAACATTTTCTCTTGATTGGTGTTTATATGTATCAGAAAAATAAATCCATCATGAAAAACTTATTACTGGATAATGCGGAAAATATGTTTTGCACTTCGATAGCTAATATGTTCATTCTGTGTTCTATTGAAGCTCTCCACCCTCTATTTTTGGTCCTAAAGCATGATGTTTTCGGATGATATTCAACAAAAAAGGATTAAAATAGCTCATTGGGCACCCGAAAACTCTCTTTGAGTTCTCGTTCTATAGATTTAATTCTTACTTTTTTATGCGAAGAAAAAGCATGAGAACCAACAACAAGTTCTGCAACTTCACATGCTCTTTCGAAAAAAGAAATTGGCTACGATGACGCCTACTCGAGAATCCTCGAATGCGTGATCAGATGAGCAAAAAAGATTTCTCACTTTTTCCGAAAAAAGTACAAGGTGACGAAAATCATCAAAAATTTTGGCAAATAGAAAATCATGTTGTTTATGACAAATCAAATCTCGGACTATCTTCCTATGCATTTATCTCAATTTCGATTTCTTCTGAAGAAAATTGATTTATTTTTTGGAAGAAGGAACTTAATCAAAACAAAGTAGATCATTTTAAAAGAATTTTCTTTATTATTTTACGTCGTTATTTTATTGTCATATATTCTTAAAAGGAAATATCTAATGCATTTAATTTCTGTGAGATGATTGCATTCACAATATACATTGCAAACTATTTGAGAACATTTTGTTCGATATTTCTTCCTTTTTTCGGGATTTCAATTTTTATTTTGTTATTTGTGTTTGTGTATTTTCTAGAGTATGGAGTTGCTTTATTGATGAATTTATGTTTACGTACAAGTGGTCGTAAAAAATGTGCTGCTATAGCTGAACAAGCTATTACCGTACTTTCAGCTCTTTTGACTCATCCAAATCATGAAGTATATTGTCTATTTATAACATGACACTAAAAATTTATTTTACATATATAGACTCGACCATATGTAAATTCTTCATTATATTCAATTTTAACTCTAAAATCAATACGTGATAAAGCTATGCAACTTGTAAGTTGTTTTGTTTGAATTTTGATATGAAAATTTATAGAAAATTATCATAATAGAATCTTGATCATCGTCTTCGATCTATTATTCAAACAGAAAAAACAAATTCTGAAACCAAAGGTCAATTAGAATTTTTACTTAATCTTCTACATAAAGGTGGTGATCAAGATGGTAGACAAACATCAGATAATGAACAAGATAATGATGATGTATAATTTAATATTTAATAACTTTTTGTTTTTGAATTGAAAATTTTCTTTTTCGTTTTTTCTTTTTTCTTTTCATTATATAGGAAGATCAAGATATAATGGAAGCTGATTTAGATCTTGGTGATAAATTACATGCATCAGATAAAGAATTAAGCGGAGATAAATTAATCGTTGAACAATATACTTCTCAAAAAATGACAAATTTTCAAATGTCTTATAGTAATATATTACATAGTTCATCAACAATTGATCCTGTTCTTCATCGACCAATAACACCTGGTCAATTACGTCATTCAAGAGTTGCACAACATACAATTGATTCTTTTGCAAATAATTTTTCAATTGATGATATACATAATGATGAATATGAAAATAAAATATTTACGAGTTCAACAAAAAAATCTTCATCAATTAATAATACACCAATAATATCAAATGATCAAGAACAACAAAAAAATTTTGTTGATAATTTTAATACAAATAATGATCTTGATCAATCTACAACAATACAAAAAACAACAACACCACCATCACCACCTATGGAATATTCAACTAATGAACAACATCGATCTAATTCAAATGCATCAATACATTCATCAGTATCATCTGTTATGGAATTAAATAATGAAAATATAAATAAACAATCATAAAATGTATTTTATTTATGGTATGAATACATCTATTTTATGGTATTTTAAACCATAGCTGAACGAATAACTTCTTTACAAAGGTCTTCCCGCGCTTGTCGATCATTTAATTTTTCTTGTTTTTGTTCGCGTTGTTGTGCATGTAAAGCTAATTGAGTTTTTATATCATTATTTACTCCGCTAAGCTTTTTGTT